GTGGGGGGAGAGAGGGGGTTGGGGAGAGAGGGGGTAAGGGGCACTAATAGTAATTATGATGTTAATAATGAATATGCTAATAATATCGATTTGATCAAAAAATAAAAAAGGTGACAAAAAAATAAAATGTACCTACCTTAAACCTAAAAAAAAAAATTTTTTTTAATAAAAAAATAAAACAAATGCTAAAGAAAATTCTTTACGTCGAAGAAAAATGACACCAGGGAAAACATGGAACTTGAGTAGTAAAGGAGGAACAACAGAAATAGTAATCTACTATTACTATTATATGTAGATAAACATAATAGGTAATTTTTCTCCTCTCAAAATCTCATGTATGAGAGCAAAAATTAGAACATCATCAGAGGTTTTCAATGTTATATAGGTTACAGTGGAAAGAACATGTTATTTACCCCTCCATCAAAGCTGTCTATGTTTTAATCCCCACAACCTGAGAAGATGCTACCTTACATGGCAAAAGAAACTGTACAGGTGTGATTAAGTTAAGATTTTGAAATGGGGAGATTATTTTAGATCATCTAGGTGGGACTAATGTAACCATAAGGATCCTTATAAATGAAAAAGAGAGGCATGAGGGTGAAAGAGAGATTTGAAGATGATTCACTGATGACTTTAAGGGTCCATAAACTGAGGGATGCAGGTGGCCTCTAGAAAATGGAACAGGCAAGGGAACTATTTCTTCCCTAGAGTCTACTGATGACACCTTGACTTTTAGTCCAGTAAAATCCACTTTGGACTTCTGACCTCCAGAATTATGCGAAAATAAATTTGAGTTGTTTTAAGCCACTAAGTTTGAGGTAATTTGTTACTGCAGCCAACAGGGTACTAATACATGGATGTAGTACATATGGTAACTATGAGATAAAGGGGTGAGAGTAAAAGAAAATATACAGTGGTAAGGCTTTTGTCTTACTTGAAGGACTAAAATAATAAATAGAATGCAAAAGGTTACATATGTATATTATAATTCCTAAAGCAATCATTATAAAAATAAACAAAATACAAAGAAATATAGTTGAAAGGCAATATAAATAATATTAAACCCAACCATATCAATAATAAAATTAGTAAATTTAATAGAAATGAAAGTTATACTAATCAAAACACTATGGTACCAGAATAAGTACATGTATGCTAAAAAATATAAGGCACTAATGAAAAAAAAAAATCGAGGAAGACCTAAATATAAAGATATATATATATATATCATGTTAATGAACTGGAATACTCGATATTGTTAAGATGTCAATTCTTAAACTGATCAATAGATTCAATACTATCACAATCAAAATCCCAGCAAGAAAGAGAAAAGCTTATTCTAAAATTTATATGGAAAGATACAGGCCGTATAAAAGCTACAACCATCTCAAAAAAGAAGAAAGTGAGATAAATCTCTACCTAATATTAAGGTCTAGTATACAGCTAGAGTAATCAAGACTGTGTTGCACAGGCAGAAGGATAGATATATAGTACAATGGAACACAATAGAGAACCCAGAAATAAATCTGTATTCTATACATAACATATAACATAAACGACCAACTGATTTTTGAACAACGTGCAAAAAGCAATTCAATGAATGAAGGTTTTCAACCAGTGGTGTTGGAGCAAGAGAATATCTACAGGCAAAGAAAGAAAAAGGAAAAGGAAAAGAAAAAAGAAATAAAAAGAACCTCCAAGTCTCACACCTTATACAAAAATTAACTCAATATGAATCATGGACTTAAATGAAAAAGCTATAAAACATTCAGAAAATCTTCAGGACCTAGGGCTAGACAAAGAGTTCTTAGACTTGGCACCAAACACATGATCCATAAAAGAAAAAAATGATAAACTGGACTTCATCAAAATTAAGAGGATTGAAAGACAAGCTACTTACTGGGAGAATACGTTTGGAAACTACACATCTGACAAAGAACTAGTAACCTAGAATATATAAAGAACTCTCAAAACTCAACAGTAAAAAACCAAATAGTCTATATAGAAAATGAGCAAAAGGTATGAAAAGACATTTCTCTGAAGAGGGTATATAGATGGCAAATAAGTACATGAAAAGATGTTCAACATCACTAGCCAGTTAGGGAAATGCAAATTAAAACCACAACGAGGCACTGCAAGACACCTACCAGAATGACTAAAACACTGAATGCTGGTGAGGATTGGAGAAAATGGATCACTCATACATTGCTGATAGGACAGTTTGGTGAAAACAGTTTGATGGTTTCTTATAAAAAGAAACATACTACCATTATGTGACCTAGAAAGTGAACTCTTGGGCATTTATTCCAATTTATGCAAATACTGACCACTGTGTTACTATTTCCTTAAACTATTTAGCACAGTAACATGCTGTACAGGTTTGTAGCCTATACCATACAGCCTAAGCTACACTAGGTTTGTGTAAGTACACTCTATGATATTTGCACAACAACGAAGCTGCCTGATGATGCATTTCTCAGAATGTATCCCCATTGTTAAGCAACACATGACTGTCCTAAGTACTGGTGAGGAAGTAGGAAAAGTGAAACTTTTTTACACTGCTGTTGGAAATGCAAAATGATATAGTCACTTTGGAAAATAGATTGGTTTCCTATAAAATTAAACAACAAACACTGATCTAACAATCTCACTACTAGGAATTTACCTAAGAGAAGTGAAAATGTTATGTTCACATGAAACGTACATGTTTATAGCAACTTTGTTATTTTCAAAAACTGGAAATAAACTAAGTGTCCTTCAACTGGTGAATAAATAAATCAACTGTAGTGCATTATATCATGGAATACTACCCATCAGTAAAAGGGAACAAACAATTGATACACAGAACAAAGAAGAATCTCTAATACATTATGCTAAGTGACAGAAGCCAAACCAAAAAATCTACATACGATGTTATTCCATTTATTTATTCCATTTATATGACTTTCTGGAAAGGGCAAGATTGCCTTTAGAGACAGCAGATCAGTGGTTGCCAGTGGGAGGAGGTTAGAATACACAGTGGCAGCAAGAGGGAGTTGTTCTCCAGTGATCAAATTGTTCAGTATCTTGACTGTAGTCATGGTTACAGAGGTCTATACATTGCTCAAAACTTAGATTTTTCTGTACGTAAATTTAAAAGAATATTAAGCCAAGACAACAGGTATAAATCAGAACTGTTCCAGAGAGCTATTATGCAACTCTCAGGAAGTAACATCATTGAAGCTACCTCCTTCCCCATGCCCACATCTAAAGCCACTGGAAGAATAACTGTTGGTCCCTCTGGGGTAGTCCAATCCTTTTTATTAGTCCCAGACTTATTATAAAATATATTTGAAATAATACCAGCAAAAGAAGTGTAGAGTAATGCTCTGAATAAAATTACTCTGTGTGCTCTTCTTATTCACATTATTCCTGAACATTAATCACCAATGCTTAAGAAACTAGCCTAAAAATCCATCAGTTATGGTATCTAGAAATATCAACGAAGACAGAGAATGAATGGAAGAAAAAGAGAAAATGGAATAAACAAATGACTCATTTCAAACATTAATATTAGATTTGATGCTCCTCTTATAATATTTACAAAAGAATAAAAGAATTTCATGGACTTGTTGACCAAGTGCAAAGCTGAAAATCTGGAACTCAATTCTGCTCACAATTCTAAAAAGGTATGCTGCTTAACTTGTCTATTTCTCAATGTTCTCACTGATATAACTGAGGAAATAAAAGTTACTTTGCAACTCTGTCAAATGGTAAAAAATAACTACAGAGCAAAGATTTTAAATGTTTAATAAATTCTAAAGTAATGTATGCATGTCTTTGAACTGTTCCCTTTGTTATCTATGTTTGGGTAGCGGCAGTGGGGTCTGGGCAGAAACAGGGAGGTAAAAAGTATGGTTCCATTCCTTACAATATTCTCACAGCCTGAGAGAAAGAATAAAACAGAATTGGGTGGTGGGTTCATCTGAAAGCTGCTTAAGGAATGCACACTGATCCCTTGTGAGGCTCAGATCCTGAATCCCTATAATCCGGAAAAAGGTTATTTAACAGTACCTCTATTGACATTTTGGCCCAAATAATTCTTGGCTGTGCATAGTAGGATGCTGAACAACATCCCTGCCTTTACCCACTAAATGCCAATAGTGAGAGCTCTCTCCCACCTGCTGCCCACTCACTCATAGGGAAAACAAAAAATGTCCTGTGGGGATCACTAATCTACAATAATTAGTGGGAGGTGTTAAGGAGGTAGGTAAGTGGAGACCAAAATGCCCCCTTCAGGGCCAATTGCCCTATCCGGGAATCTAAGAATGTTAATTGCTGATGGTTTATAGTTGAGTCCCTCTTCAGGAACCGTCCAGGCTCAAGGGCCCTGCCTGACTCAAGGTTATGCTCTTTCCAGAGACTAGCCATGTCCAATGACTGACTGATGGGGGTAGGAACAAAGGCCAATCCCCTGCCTTCATATGGGACAACTATGAAGAACCATTCCAGTTCCAAAGTTCCTCACAGAATACGTTAAGGCCTCTGTAATGGCATCACATTTCAACTTTTTGCCGTGCCCAGTGCTACTTTGTTCCTTTCCTTACAGAGCATTCCCCAATAACCCCCACTACCCACAAATCTCTGCCTTAGACTTTGTTTACTAGGAAATCCAACCTAACACAGTGTAATAAAATAATGAGTCTATTCTATTTGTGTTATATACAGTATTCACATTTTTTTTTTTTTCTGACTGGTAAGGGGATCGCAACCCTCGGCACAGTGTGGCCCGCACCACGCTCAGCCAGTGAGTGCACTGGACATCCCTATATAGGGTCCGAACCTGCGACCTTGGTGCTCCCAGCGCCACACTCTCCTGAGTGAGCCACGGGGCTGGCCGGGTATTTACATTTTAAGTGGAATTGGGTCATTTGCTGTGAATGAGTAGAAAGATATATAAACAAATACAAGGGAGAGACACTTGATGAAAATTACTAAAATAAACATCCCATAATTACAAATCCAAACTAAGATAGTAACCAAAGATGCTATTGGATAGAGAATTCATAATAATAACAGTTAACAATATCTGGGAATTTACTAAGTGTCGTGAACTACACTAAGTGCTTTATGTATATTATCTCCCTAATCCTTTCAACCATCCTATGAAGTAGGAATTATTATTCCCATTTGTGGATGAGGAAATTGAGGCCCAGAGACATTAAGTCCTTTGTCTAAGGCCACAAAGCAAGTAAGTGGTAGAGCTAAGAATCAAATCCCAGTCAATCCAACTCCAGAGCTTGTGTGCTCTATCTGGATTGTGTCCACAGCCTCCTAACAAGGCCTCATGTTCCTATTTTTATCTCTCTCTAAAATCATTCTTTATACACTACTAGAGAGATGTTTCTAAAATATAACTCTGACCATACCTTTTCCAACTCAGATCTTCTTCCCCCCATTTTCTTTTAATTGTAGTAAAACATATCTAACATAAGGATGCCCATTTTAAGAGTTTCTAAACATACAATTGCATGAAACTAATTATTTCCAAATGCTGTGTAACACTACCTCCATCTATTTCCAGAACTTTTTCAACATCCTAAAAATAGACTCTGTACCCATTAAGCAATAACTTCTCATTATTCATTTCTGGTAACCTCTAATCTATTTCTGTCTCAAATTTTTTTCTTTTTAATTTGTTTTTTCTTAATTGAGCCATGATGATTGTATATATTTATGGAGTACAATATGATATTTGGGGACATTTATACAGTGTGCAATAATCATATCAGTATTTAGCATATCTACCACCTCAAACATCTGTCACCCTGTTTGTGTTTCCAACTTAGATCTTTTTCTCCATTACCTTTTGGATAAAGTTCCAACTCCTTAGCCTTGTGTTTAAATACAACGTCTTTCATGATCTGACTCCTGACTCTCTCTCCAGTCTTATCCCCTGTCCCTCCAACTGACCTCTGACAGCTCCTGTGGATGATTTCTATATAGCTATAGAGATGTTTATATAACTACAAAGATGTTTTACTTATTCTCCTAGCAAACAGAGCTACTATTTACTGAGCCTACTTATGTTCCAGACCCCATACTAGGAGTTTTATGATTTCATTTACTCTTCACAATAATCTTATGAAATAAGTACACTTATTTTCATTTTATAGTTGAGGAAGCTAAAGATCATGAAAGTTTGGTTACTTCAGTGCAAAGCTAATGGCAGAGCTGGGATATGAACTTAAATCTGTCTGACTCTTGTACCTGAAACTATCACAGTACAAGCATTCAGTAAATGTTTACGAAACTAAGTAGTTCTCCATCTTCTTCATTCTAGGAATACCTATAATGCGCAGATGTCTAAGGTAAAAATGTATACAGAAGCATTTTAATGTTACAGATATCTGATATTTTAAAAGCTGTGTACCTACCTGTATGAGATCTTGAAGGCTCTCAACAAAAGAAATTTCTGCTTCTACCATGTAAAACTCTGCTAGGTGTCTCCGGCTCTGAGAATTCTCAGCTCGGAATGTTGGACCAAAGGTAAACACTTGAGTAAAAGCTCTGCAATTCAAGATTAAGAGCATAAAACAGTTTTCACATGATTAATTTTAAGTATTTAAAATACTCAGTGAGATCTTAAGAAAAAAAAAGTTCTGTCCACAAATACATACATATAAGCTGCTGTATTTCTCTAATGGGTGATAATAATAGTTTCATTAAAAATGTTACATTTATAGAAACCATTTTATCCTGAAGGAATTTGCAACTGCTTTACATACCCTATGGTTTACTAAATATAAAATATATATAGAAATATAACCACTTCTATATATAGAAATATAACCACTTCTGGGTGCACTCTACTGCAGCTACCTTAAACAGCAGGCAACAACATTTCATAGCAATCAACAACAAAATAAAAATACCACAGCCCCCAAATCCATGCAGATAATCTAGACAGTAACAGTGAAAACTAGAATTTTATGTGGATAAGGTGTGCTCGTTTATTTTTTAAGTACATGAAAAAAGAATGTCAGATATGTATAGCAATTCACTTTGTTCAAAGCCTACCCAAGTTCTTCATAGTCACCTAAGTCTTTCAATGAATGCAGAATGATCCCTGAAATTTGGGGGTGAGGGCAGATTTTGAGGAACTGTCTACTTTATTTTCAATCACCCAAATGGGGAAAAAAAAACCCTTATTTTAAAATTCCTACAAAGAAGGACACTACAGCGCATTCTTTAAAACTTAGATTTTTCTGTATGTAAATTTAAAAGAATATTAAGCCAAGACAACAGGTATAAATCAGAACTGTTCCAGAGTTTCCAGGGTTCTTTAATACTTACAGTCTCTCTCACACTGAAACATGACAACAATTGATATTAGATCAAGCATATGAAGTAATGAACACTTCTTGAAGTTTACATTTTAAAGTTATTCTAGAATAAAGCAAGAGGTTTAGGACTCCTTAGCTATTTTCCTTAGCACTCCTCATTTTTCCATCATTAGTCAAATAACATTAAGATCAGAAAACAGTGCAAAAAATAGATGGCTTTTATATATGAGTATACCAATATTTTTTTTTTTTAAGAAAAGATACCAGGACCGAACCCATGGCTCACTCGGGAGAGTGGGGCGCTGGGAGCAGCAAGGCCGCGGGTTCGGATCCTATATAGGGATGGCCGGTGCGCTCACTGGCTGAGCGCGGTGCAGGCGACACCATGCCAAGGGTTAGAAGATGATCAGGAATTTTCATTTTAATTATAGTAAGGATCAGGCTCTGACTGAGGAAACCAAGACTTAAATATCATTCTAAGAGAGTAAGAACTGATGACCATGGTGCTTCCTCTGAATTAACAAAAAGATAAAATAAGCTGGAAGGTATCTTGAAAAATTTCTGCTGTACGGCCAAGGCGAAAAAAAAAAAAAAAAAAAAAAAAAAGAAAAGAAAGAAAAGATACCAGCTAAGACCCAATTGGTAGGAAGCCTAGGAATTTATGTTTTGGTTCTACAACCACCTTCCTGAAACCGTGATCAGTTAACCTGAGAAACTTAGTTTTTAATGGAAAAATAAATAACAGGAACTCAAAAATATTACTGTGGTTACCTCTCCCAAGATTCAGATCCTGACTTGCCTACTAGAATGTTCATGAAAAGAGTAAACCTTGTACAAAAGGAAAATTCTTGCCTTGCTCCAGAAAACAAACAAAAACAAAATAATGAACAATCCTGTTTTTCTTTTTACATTTCCCCAGCTCTATTAATCTCGGTTAATCCATCTAATCACCCAAACCAGACCCCACATCCCCTACTGCCCTCATGTCTCATTTCATATTGGTCATGAGATTCAATTGTTTACACCTTGGAAAACTCCCTCAAATCTAGTGACTCTTCTCTATCTCCACAGCTGCTGTCAGTGTAAACCTTTGTCTCTTGCTTGGAAAACAACAGCTTTTTAACTGGTATCTGCCACCTATTTTCCTCCAGTCCCAAACTACTAGGAATTTTCAAACTCAAATCTGATTATGCTAGCCCTAGTTTTAAAACCTTCAATAATTCCCCACTGCCAAAGGATAAAACGTAACTTCTAATTTTGACTGGACTTTTCCTCACACAACCTTTTCCCTAGCCACTCTGAAGACATTATCCGTACATAGAATGCTCCTGTGTGCCTTTAGATCTTTGCAGAGGCTGTTCCCTATTCTGTAATGCCCCATCCCTTGCTCCCTTCTCCCCAAATGGCACATTCCCATCCACCTTTCAAGATTTGGCTCAAATGTCATTTTCTCTCTGAAACCTTACCACAACTCCCCAAATTTATTGTTCCCTCCTGTATATTACTATAACACTTGGTTCACACATTTCTTACAAAGAACATATCACTTTGAAATTTAATTATGTATTTAAGTATATTTCTCCCCCAATAAAATATGAAATTTTCCAGAATAGGAATCATGTTTTATTCATATTTGCATCTCTAGTGCCTAAGATAAAACAGGTGCTCATGCTGAATGAATGAGTACTAATGATGATGACAGGCTTCCTCAGTTGTAAACTGGAAAAGCACAACACCCTCCCAAACTGTAACATTACAAATATAGAGAAATACTCAGATATAGTTTACTGAGTCTGTTAGTACCTAAAATGGACACCTAAAATGGGTCAAACAATCCAGGTCTGTCCCAAACAATAAATTCAAAAATTATAAGGCCCTGAGTTTGCAATCTGAGACCATGCCATCTCTAGGTAGGTCGGTAATAGTATATAACACGACATTTCCTTCAGGTACTACATCACAAGAAATTGTATATACAGATGTTAACTAACATTGAAGAGTATTTCACTGAAAAGTTTTAGGGCATAAACAAACATGTGGCATAGGTGAAATTTGCTTTCGGGGCTCTGAAATACCAGGAAAGCTAATGGGATTGCTGTTCGAAAGAGACTTGCTATTTGTATTAAGATAATAGGTACAGAGAAAACAGTGGTTTCTTGCAAGAACTTCAAATTCCAATCACAAGGACATCTCCTCCTCACATGGTAATTCTATATAGGATGCTCCAAGATGAGTAGCAATAGGGATTTTAACTTTAATAATAGTTAATGATTTTCCCTACCAAGGTAGGGTAAGCTCTCTAGTGTAAAATGTAGAAGATGATCAGGAATTTTCATTTTAATTATAGTAAGGATCAGGCTCTGACTGAGGAAACCAAGACTTAAATATCATTCTAAGAGAGTAAGAACTGATGACCATGGTGCTTCCTCTGAATTAACAAAAAGATAAAATAAGCTGGAAGGTATCTTGAAAAATTTCCTAATTCAGCATCCAGTCTTTAAGCAGATGAATGTTTAAATCATTCAATAATGATCACTCTATGTCAGATCCAGTGTTCTATTATAAGTGATAGCAGTAGTAGCAGTAATAATATTAGAGGGGGATCCTTGTGGGCCAGGCATTAAACCTAAGAACCTTATAGTTAACCCCTTTACAGTTAGCTCAATATCGTACGTATTATTACTTCTACTTTCCAGAATAAGAAGAAAAGTGGTTAAGAAGCTTTCCCAAAAGTCATAGCTTAGTAAGTGGGGGAGGCCAGATTCAAATTCAGGTCCAACTCTAATGCTCCCAGCTTTCATCATGATATTAATAATGATGCTCACAACTAAACACTTATAAACCCAGAAAATTAGAAAGAAAAACTGCAGTTTCTCAAAGTAATAACTCCCCTTTCTCAAAGTAATAACGGTAAGTAGTTTGGTATATTTCCTTTCCCTACAAATAGCTTATTTGTTTCATGTGTTAAAATTAGAGCTCTCTAGGATATGTTGTCCATGAAAATAATGAGAATGATAAATTATCAATATTGTGTAATCTTTAGCAAGTCATTAGACCTTTCTGGTCTTAAAATTCATAGAAAGGTAGGGGAGGGGGAGGCTTGGCATTGATCACTAATATTTTTTGCAATAATTATCTCTAGATCATGTGAAATCACTCCTATTTTAATTTATACTGATTTCTTCTTTTTTCTGTCTTCCACAGACATGAAAGACATTTGCAGCAAGGCTTGAACCACCAACAGTTAAAATAAGATCTGAGAACAAGGCCATTTCTAAAATAAGATACAAAACCAGGTGAAAGGCCAATACTGCTATGAGAAGAGACCAGCAGAAAAAGAAAACACTCATCACTAAAAACCATTCTTGTGCCAAATTACGAAGAGAGGAAAGCTATATAAGGAAAGTCCATGAGCTTGTGTAACAAAAGTACATTCAATACACATCAATCAAGACAGCTACAAAAATGGCTTTTTGGAAAATAAAATTACAACAAAAAGTTTTACGAAGGTCACTTTCGCCCTTGTGTAGTTTCATGAAGCCCTCAAGTTAGTAAGTGCATTAATATAAAATGGTCACTGATTGCTCAGTCATTTATTCTTTCTGGCCCTTAAGTTTAAGAGCTCATCTTTTTTATTTTGAAAGAATAGAGTAATTGCTGTTCTTTAGCTGGGGAGGAACTTACTCAGCAATAAGACTGATCAACAACTTTCCCTACACCCCTCTACCCCCAACCTCCATATCATATCGCTACTGTCAGAATAGTAAAAGTGGACTGAAGTGAACTCATAGACAGTTTTTAAATTGGCTTTTAAGACAGTGTTTGTCAAGTGGTTTTCCCATCATCAGAAAATGATCATCTATTTTTCTATTGTTTTGTGTCCAGTGGATTATCAATACTGTGACATATTTGTCATTCATTATTACTACATACCTAACAGAGTGGACTCCAGGCACTTCCTTTACAACTTTCCCCTATTCCTCTATCTTGCAATATGAGAGTACTTCAAAAAGTTCACGGAAAAATTGAATTAAAAGATAATACAAATTCTTCCATGAAGTTCCTGAAGACCTTTTCATACACTTGTTTCTAAGGGTATAAAAGAGATGTAGCGCCTTCACAATTTCAACAATTCCTGTTAAGATGCCTTAGGAAGGGTGCATCCCAAAACCTAAATATTCTTCTTTCCCATTATTGCCAAACACCTCTGCAAGATTAATTTCC